ACAATACCTGAAGAGGATTCATCTCCGTTACTAGTCACATCTGAAACGATAAATGGATCATTGTCAGCTTCTGGGAGGTCAGCGTTCGGTTGATTGCTGAAGGAAGCTTCAGGTTCTCCATAGTGAGATAGCAACCAGTTATCTAACTCTTCATCATCTTCAAAGATAGGTTTAGAGTTAGCTGATTGAGATTCATCAAAGTTGACATGAATAGATTCATCTATTGTCTTTCGTCTTTTGTTTAATACTCTAAGGCTTTGGATACTGAAGAATTTTCAAGAAATATTCCTTCATAAGCTTCGGGATTGAACTTTCCAAGTTGGTCTATGTTGTTTAGGATATAACATGTACAACCAAAGATATAAAGAAAGCTAAGAGAAGGTTTTCTGCTATGGAAGAGTTCATAAGTTGTCTTCTTGAATCTTTTGACGATCAGGGACCGGTTCTGAGTTAAACAAGCAGTGCTGATAGCTTCAGCCTAGAATTGAGTAAGGAGACTAGATTCGTTGATCGAGCAGCTTTGATGATCGTTCGATTTCTATTTTCAGTGACCTCATTCTATTGTGGAGTTCTCACAGTTGAGCAGTTGTGTGAGATTCTCTTGTTCACAAAGAAGTCATCAATGGTACTGTTTTTGAATTCAATGTCATGATCACTCTTTATAGACCGTACTCTGATATTGTGAAGTACTTCTATGTGTTTGATAAACGAGATGATTTCTTCAAAACGAGATGATTTCTTCAGGTGCATCACTCTTAGATCTGAGAAACAAGATCCAAGTGTACCTGAAAAACTCATCAACAATAACGAGTGTATATTTTTTTTCCAGCCATAGATTGCACGTTGATTGAGCCAAATAAATCGATGTGCAATAACTGAAGCGGAGAAGTCACTGAAGAGACTTGCTTAAATTTGAAGCTAGCATTTGTCTGCTTTCCCTTTTTGCATGCTGAGTAAATAGATTCTTTTGCAAAGGAGTGCTGAGGAAGGCCAGTGACAAGATCATTTCGAGACATCTCATTCAGCGTCTCAAATTTAAGATAAGAAAGTCGTTTGTGCCATAGCCAGTTGATATCTGAAGAGGCTTTAGAGAGAATATAGCTATTCTCAGTGAAGGGAGAATCTATGTTGATGACATACACGTTCTATAGACGAGAACCTGTAAGAGCAAGGTTGTCATCTTTGTCATAGACATAACATGAGTTCTTAAGAAAATTCACTGTGAAATCTTTATCACACAGTTGTTTGATGCTGAGAAGATTGTGCTTCAGTCCTTCAACATATGCAACACATTTGAAGGTGGTTGCACCGTTGGTTAATATACCAAAGATCTTGGTATATCCTTTTCTATTTCCTCCAAAGGTCATGGAAGTGCCTCTTTCCACTTTGTAATCAATGAGCAGGGATTTGTCTCCGGTCATGTGTCTTGAACATCCACTATCAAGATACCAGATGTCTTTGACTTTCTACAAAAAAAAACAAAAAGAGTGATTTGGTACCTATTTCTGAATGGGTCTAACGGAGTTAGAGGCAACATCCACTGAAGCTGAAGACTCAGGGTCAGCAGGTGTCTTCACTAAGCCTAAAGAAGAGGCTTCAGTGTACTTCTTCACCTTAGAAGTTTTCACAATTTTGGTAGCAGATGCCGCCTTGGCTAATTTTTCAGCCTTAGCTAGTTTATTTACCTTAGCTGGCAGACCAGATTTGGTAGCTGAAGAACCCTTACTGGCAATATATGAATTTTTACCATAGTGATGACACTTCTTGAAGTTGAAAGAAGCTTTAGGGCTAGAAAGGTCAGAGGGAACAGAAGAGGGACAAGCTCCAATGATTCCTTTGTCATTTGTTCGAAGAGGAACAACTGAGGGTTCAAAGACCTTGGTCCCTGAGGAAGAAGGTTTACAAGCCGAAGAAATAAATCTAAGTCTATTTGACTTGTTGACCTTCTTGGGAAGAGGACCGCTGATAATGGATTTACCTTTATCTTTCCGTCCTGAACTCGAGGGAGTTCCTTCAAGAGTAGTCTCACTGGAAGAGTACTGAGAGGAAAATGTGTTAGGAATGGAAGAGACAAAAGTACCAAACTTCAACATAGACTTGCCAGTGACACTTTCTTCCTGATCATAGGAAAACCCTGAACCACTCTTTATCTTGGCAGGGATCTAAGCATTGATGATCTCAGGGGCTTTGATAGAGGCTTTGTACCACCCTTCAATGGTAGCCTTTTCAGCCTTGAGTTCATCAATAGCTTGCTCATGCTCAGCGATAGTCTGCTCACGTTCGATGCTTATGGTATGGTTTACAATGACCTGATCCTTAAGATTTTCCTCAATATTGGTCAGCTCTTTGATCTTTGAATAGAATTTCTCTAATTTAGGGTACATACCAGAGCAAAGATTGTGATAGCTATATTTCTTGGTTAAAAATTAAAGTTAAGAAGCCCTTCATATTCATCATTGTGTGAATAAATGTGTTTACTTAACCTATGTTTTTTTTGTAGAGTCCAGCCCAAAAAGAAAAGCAAAATCCCAACTTGTGGCCTATTTTTTGTGGACTTCATCAAGTCCAAATAGAGCCTACATCCTCTCCATATTTTGGATCGACCAGAAGCAATTTCGACTGAAGAGGCATACGGAAACAGTCGTGGGATCGAGGGAGAAGAGGAGAGACGCAAGAAGGAGACAACAGTGGTCTGGTTCGATTGGGAAGACACGGGGAGCGAATGAAGACAGCAAGTCGAAATCGTTCGATTTGGAGAGGACAACAAC